AAGGCAAAAATCTTTCACAGCTTTAACAACTTTCTTTTGTATATCCAATAAGTAGACTTTATTCTTTTGCTTGTCACTTGTAATAACGTCCTTCAAAACCTTAACAGAGCTTTTTTGTATTACCAGTAAGTAAAAAATATCCAAATCAATTTCCTGGTTTGATATCTGTATGTGTCCTTTAGGGAATAAGTCATCCATCAGATCTATTTGTGTTACATTTAAGTCCCCCTTCCAAGTAATTTTATAGACATCCATTGCAATTTATTCTTGTTCTATAACTTCATTACAGCACGCTCTGTCCATCTTATCAAGCAATTGATCCATTCTGTTAAGAAGCTTAATAGAGAGATATTCAAAAGTTTGCAATATAGATTTCTGCTCCACATTCTTTATCTGCTCCATATTCTATATCCTCTAGCTCCCTCTAGTGTCTAGCCTTCAAGGTCTCCTTATTGTAAAAACAACCAAAACAGTTGCCATTTTCTCATGAGAAAATATCTTCTAATTAATTCAAAGCTATAATTCCAAATCCCTCTGGCCCCTTAATCCATTGTAAACTTTCCAAAATCCATACTAAGCACCTTTTGCTGCATAGTCCAAAAAATCATAGATTTTCAAAACTTTTCAAATCAAATTTATACCATCATCCTCTAAGGAGGAAGAAACTCACCCACTGAATTCAGTAAAACCTTGCCGGTCCAAAGAGTCTTAATCTGTCCAGTAAACAAATAAACAAAAAATAATAATCCAAAAAAGTGATTAAGAAATAAGGCTCAGTTGAGCTTAATGTCCATGAAAGGCTGCTTTGCGAGAGTGAGCTGACTAAAAACAGCAGTTTCTGCAGTCTACTCATGAGGAGTGACTGTCTGGAGTCATGTGGATAATCTCAAAAATTTCTCCTTCTGGAGAAATTTTGCCAGTCCAGATCCAGCATCCAGCTGCGATTCCCTTCAGAAATGCTGCCCTGATAATGAGCAGGACATCAGCTTGCTATGGCACTCACAGGAAATCCACAAATATGAATTTCTAGCTTCTTCAGGTATGATGGGAATATAGTAGAAGATACTTTCATAGTAGTGCTTATCCTTCCGCCTACTTGCTTCCTTCCATTTTCTGCGGTCCATATTTGATGGGTGAAAATATGTAACTAGAGAAAGAAAAAGAAGTCTTCTCCATTTATAGTAGATACAGGTTGAGAATACCGCATATGCTTCCCAATATGCAGCTCTATCTTAGCCAAAAGTGATTGTGATACATTCTATTTAATGTCTAGTTCCTTTGCTGAATATACGGATGTAGAAATAAATAACTGTACCAAATATGTTTTGTATTTTTTATTTTAGTCTGTAATTTCCTCTTCTAAAAGAGCTGTCGTTGGATTTTTCAGTCTGCTAGCTAATCCACAGTATGGCAGCTGGCAACTCTGATAAGTATTCATACATTTGAATTTTGAAGCCATTAGTGTGCCTTAAGATCGAAAGCTCTGTTTAGTTTCAGTTATTTTTTGTGACTACTGCAGCTAATTTTGGTCCTCACACTTAAAAAGCTTATGATAGAGACCCACAGAGTCCATAATGTAGAACAGTAGAAGCCTCAAGCTACCTCTCCTTGAAGGCCTCTGGGTCTTCATGTCCTGGCCCACCTCCTGCCCCATGGTAGTCCTCGTTGCCACCACCTGGGGGGACCTCATCGGGCATCCTCCCTCCCCCACAACCCCATTGTGGGAGACAGATAGACCTCCCCCTCAACTCTGTGTTACTTTCTGATAGCTTCTAGGTAAAAGAAATACAATACAATACAATACAATACAATACAATACAATACAATACAATACAATACAATACAATACAATACAATAATTGTTATAGTGGCACCTCCTGGTCATATAGCATCAAAGCCTGCGACTAGAGGTATCGACTAGTATGGGGGGAAAATCAGCATTATTAAAAAGAAAAGTTAAAATTGCGGAAAAATTCCTTTTAGCTTTAAATATTTGAATTCAGGTAATAAGTGTTGGAAAAGATAAATTACCAGAGATCCAACATCTGCGAGAAATGGATCCAATATCCATAAGTAAACATAACTTCAGCAGACCATAAAATGGCAGTGATCTACCACCAATAAGGAAGAGATCAATATCACAGATTCCTTAATGGTTTGGTTGAAACTGGCAAAAAAATACAGTATCCTGAACATATGCAGAGAAAATAAAAATGACTGCAACACCACCCAGAAAATGAAGACCAAACATAGCATTTATGTCTACCCAAGTACCAGGCCCTCACATCAGATTTTCCTTCTGATTTCAGTTTACTTGGACTTCCTTTTTGTTTTTCTAGAAGTTTCCAACTTTAATCTGGGGCTGAAGGGAAGGATGTCAGCTTTCTCCTTCTCTCAGCTCATGCTTGAGAGAAGTTGTATATTTAAACACAACCAACAACTGAAGTGGCAGGGAGGTTGCAATACTGTGAATGCCGGCTGGCTTTGATAAACAACATAAATGGAGTTTTCATACACAAGTTTCAGTTTGTCAGACAGGTTTTTCCCCCAAAAAACCTTTGAAATGGGAGGGTTGTTTTATACAGACCACATAGAGGCAGATGCTATAAAAGCTAGGGGACAGGTGTGTGGGCCTCCATAGGGGACAAGGGATGCCACGTGCATTGCAATCTGACGATGCAAACTCCTTCCCCAATTCACTTCAGCCACACAACACTTCTGTCAGTTTGACATTATTGTGGCTAGCTGTGGATGAGTGGCCGATAGAAGCCCCTAGCTGCAAATAATGGCAAACATATAGCTGTCGGGGGAGAGCCAGTTTGGGGTTGTAGTTGAGGCACCAGGCTAGAGACTGGGAGTTCTGCTCCCGCCTAGGCACGAAGCCAGTCCCTCTCTCTCAGCCCTAGGAAGCAGGCCATGGCAAACCACTTCCAAAATCTTGCCAAGAAAACTGCAGGGACTTGTCCAGGCAGTCGCCAGGAATCAACACTGATTCAAAGGCACCAAAAAAAAAAAAACCTTGAGGGGGAGAAACTGGACATTATTGCTTCTGTCTCACAGAGGGTGAAGACTCTTTAAAAAATGTGCAAAGTCCATTAATGGAGAGCCTCTTCAGTCTCTAAATTCCAACCATTTCTTTAGATTCCTCACTCTGAATGAGACAGAACGGCTGGTGAAGGATTTGCCTCCTCTCCTACTGTATTGCAGACAATCGACCTCTATGCAGCTGGAGAGACTTAGAGGGGCTAACAGAGTCTTATCTTGTTTCCCCTTAATCCTGAGTAAACCTTTACAGGTTTTCATAATGACAGAACAGGACCAGAAGTATTAAGCATGCTTTACTCTGGAGTAAGAGCTATTGAACTCAACAAGACTTACTACAAAACAAGCAGGCATAGATTTTCATTTGTCTTCCAATCTGGCACAAATGCCTGTATCAGTATCTTTCCTTTTTGCAAACAGAATTGGCAGAGAGGCAAGGGGGAAGAGCTGTTTTGTCAAATCTCCAAGAATTACTTTCCACTACGGAGAACCTTGGCCGAGGAGATTCATCCCCAGCATAGCAGTGGCCTCTGTGTGTGTGTGATTGTGTAAAATGAAAAGGGTTTTGCTTTTTGAATCTTCCTTTCCACAAATATTTTCTCTGAATGCGTCTGTGTATAAGAGAGAGAGAGAGGAGTGTTTGTGGAAGAGAATGGTGGGTGAGGGTGTGGGTGTCTGTGTATATACACATATACTTGTATACAAATGGAGGAATCCATTAATTTTACAAATGAAGTATCTTGTTTTACAGGCATGCTTTTCAGTAGCTATTCTTTTTGGGTTGTTGTTTTTTTCCAGACCCTTGCTCTTTTTATGGAGTGTTCTCTTTGGTCAGTGTATACTATACAAACCCACATATGTGCACACACACAGAAATGAGTGTTATGCACAAAGTAATTGTGGGGAAAAGATATCCAGATTTTGTTTCAGTTGGAGTTGAGAACCCTAGATTGGCCAGGTAGGGAAAATGTTTTCTGCAGGATTTTGGTGTGTGTGTGCATATTTATTTTCTTATCTTTGAGGGAGAAGGAAGATGATGTTAAATTCAGGGATGTCTTGTTTGGGGAAAGTATGTATTATATGAAGATAATAATAGGCAGACAGACAGACATCAGAAGTGTGTTTCTACATCCTGACCTATCACTCTGTTCCCTTTTGGGGTGAGCATGACCACACACATTCCTTTGAACAGTCAACATCTTTGTTTCCTTTTGCATTTTTAACATTTATTCTGACTCCCTTTACTGATCTTGCAAAATCTCATTTGCTCTGTATGTCAATAAACTCTACCTCTTGGTTCTTAAAGATGTCCGTTGTTTGGTGAGACAGTTGTGATCTACTCTAATCCTTTGCATGGGCCAGATTACTTGTCTTATTTCAGGAAGATTAAGACGAAACTTGTAAATTCTGTTAAGGAGGGTATCCTTGGTTGTCATAGTTTGTGAACATTCGTTTCTGTCTGACCTTCTTTAAAGCATGTGTGTTTTTGAACCATGCTACTACATTTTTGCCCAAATGGATCTTGTTCAGGTGGCTCCTGATCTAGCACCAAAGGACCCCATAGTGCATTTTCCTCTACAGCAGATTTGACGCAGCCTGCTGTTAACTTCGGTGCCACTTCTAATGATTACCCTGCTCTCTGGAGAATTCTGACCAGCTTCTGGGCAGAATAATTAGCTTTTCAGACATCATTGTGATTCTATTTTTTAAAAAAGGAAAAGAAAGAAAGAAAATTGTATGCAGGGCGACACTTTGTTTTTAGACGGTTGTTGCTTAAGTGAATGTAATTGAACATTATCAATATATAATGTCAGTATTTGCAAACTAGGGCAATTGCTGTTTCTAATTGCTGTTTTTCCCAAAATGAATTTGTTTGGCAAGGTACCGTTTGGGAGTGGCCATTATTATGAAGCATGGCTCTTTCTGGCCTGATTTCCTTTTAACATGTGAGGGCCAGATACATTTAAAGGTCATCTTTATTCCTGTTAGTGCAAACGGATTTAAACTTGAAGGAGTTATCATGGCTGTGAGGCTGAAGAAAATGAAGCTCTTGACCTATTGCAAATGTAATGCCGGCTTAATTAGTAATTTCAAACTTTGCCTGCTTACCAAAATTTGTGCATTCCATCTGCCTTATAACCATTCAGGTACTTTAGTTTAGAAAATAATATGTTGCTTTCCAATCTGTTTAAGTGGATTAAGGCATGTTGCTGATTTGCTCTCCCTGTATAAAAGAGGTTGAGAGTTTGGCACCTTTAAGCACGGTAAGTGAATTATTGCAAGAGGGAAATATTCTCCAAAGTGATCCTGTATTGAAATTGATGCCAGATACTCAATTGTAAAAAATGAATAATGAAAATTCAGATTTTAAGAAATGGAAGAAATAGTAAGACTGTCATTAATTCTCTATGTGTTGTTTTTAATTAAATATGGACTATGTCAGAAAGTTTTCCTGTTGCTTTTAGAATTTTCAAATTGTCATTGATAGGCTTGATGTTAGCATAAACTTTCTGGTTTAAAACAACTATATAGCATTCCTAAGATAAGGACTTTAGCAAATGTTGCACTTTTTTCATATTGCTTCATAAATGTCATTTTTATTCAGTATTAATTCCAGTATATTTAGAAGTCAAGCAAGTCGTTCTTGCATTCTGTTTCAAAATGTATTTTTAACTGTTCTGTGGTGCTGGTTTGTTGCTTTTCCAATTTTACTGATGCAGGAAAACTTATTTTTCTCTTTGAAATATAGGATTTGTTTTCTAAACATACGATTTCTGACTTTTATATGCATATATTTATTTATATAGTATGATGTTTGTGATTTCTTTGACTGTCAACGTTGAACCAGTCTTGCCAACAAAACTATCAAACGTTTCCTATTTCTCTACTCTTCTTGTTTTTAATTTTTACTTTTTAAAGAATACATTTTTTAAAAAAATCAAGAATACATTTTTTAAAAAAATCAAGAATACATTTTTTAAAAAAATCAAGAATACATTTTTTAAAAAAATCAAGAATACATTTTTTAAAAAAAATCTCTTAATGGGAAACCTGGCACTGTCTGTCTTCTCTGTTCTGCAGAAATGTTGAAGGAGTTGAACCAGCAACGCAGAGCGAAAGAGTTTACAGACCTGAAAATTATTGTTGAAGGCAAAGAGTTTGAAGTCCACCAAAATGTTCTAGCTTCCTGCAGCTTGTATTTCAAGGACCTGATTAAAAGGTTTGCCTTCCTTCCAGCTGTGATCTGGTCTGTTCTTTTGTAGGGCGCATTTGTGTCGCTTTTTTTCCTCCCCTCTCTTTCAGGTTTATGAAGATTTGACTCTCCTGTCACAGAGCCAGTAGCCATTCTTCCCACTTACTCTGAATGTATTTTTTTGCAAACAAAAGATTCAGATTCCTTTCTTACACATAAGCTGACCTGTACAATTCCAGATCTCATTATTTGCACATTTTGGCTGAAGAGAAATGTTCTGTCATGGAGCATTTTAAAACCAAACTCAAATAACTTACCAACAGTGTTGATCACAAAACACAGCTATTAGGTTGATAATTAACAGGGATGCTACTAACTCTTCCTCCAGGCTGCAATAACCAATATTATTAAAAATTGCCAACTTCTCAAACTAACAAGGATTGTGCTAGGTAGTAGACATTTAACCCTTTTGACTTCGACATTTGGGACATCTGATGCTTATGGAAGTGAAAAAGGTGAATAGATAATAAATCAAATGTTGAAGTCACCCCTTTTTATCAGGAGTTTATGGAAACAAGGGAAGTTTAGGTTTTTAAAAATCCTAAATTCTTTCTACTTGATAGAATAACTATTCCCCTCCTTGAGCAAGTAGTGTCTTTGTGTGAGTTTCCATCTTTGGAATTTTCTTCCTCCATCTGATTGTAACATTGCATGACAACGGTTTATTTGCCATTACATTGATTATTTTAAAATGTGTTTGCTTCATAAATTCATGGTGTTTTTACAGTATTGGCAAATCAGCATAGCAAGATTGGGGAACCCAGAAGAATACAATCATGTTCATATTTCTGTCAGTCATCAGCAAATTAATCTGGATCCTGATTTTCACCTTGCTGTATTTTCCAGAATGAGCTCTGAACCTGGACTGTACAAAAAGAGAAAAAATGGGGAGAGGGATTGTAAAACATTGTGCTGGCTTTCAAATTGTGCACTTAAATGTTGTCACTAACACAGTAGTGACTATATTTTATTCCAGGATTGCATGTTTGCTATATCTCCTTTTCTGAGAAACAGGTCCTTTCATTAAAGCTTGTTTTTGTTTGTTTGTTTGTTTGTTTTTAAATAATTGTGGAAACACTATACTACTGTTGTATAATTGAACTGACTGCCTTATCAATTATTCAGAAAGAGTTGAACTGGTAGCATATTTTCCCTCTTCCATAAACCAAATTATAACTAGCTTTAGTTGCTCTTCCTGCCTGCTCATTATCGCTGACTAGTTAAGGTTACATTATATGCGTCTTGCAGAGATAAGATATATATTCTGCAGGGAAAGTCTTTGGCTCCATTGATAAAAATCCCGTAATTGGCTAGCCTTCCAGTGTCACTGATTTAATTGTGAAGTCTCTTCCTTGCTAGTCAGGTTGTCAGATACCATCTGCTTCTGGAGAAAAATCAGGTCTGAGTTCAGTAACAATTGTGGAAGAGTTTATGACAAATCAATGATAACCTCCACATGGTTTTTCTTGCAATTTTAGCATCTTCAACTTTTCTAAGCCTCCTTTAACAATTTAACAAAAGATGAGATGAAATGCTTTAATTAAGCAATTCAATGAATACATCTGGGTAATACATCTGGAGCCTCTTTTTGTAGCTTACAGAATTCTTCTCTATTATTGCCAAAAACTGATAATGTAGTGCCTGCCACTTTGCATTGGAAAATGTGAACGTTATTAGCCATCAATCACATTTAGCAAAGTTTAAAAAAAAAAAAAAAACCCAGCTCC